TTTTTTTTTTTTTTTTTTTTTTTTTTTTGTTGTTTTTGTCCTGCTGATGTGTTTGTTTGCTTCACGTCAGGCTGACACAGGGAGCTGTGACTAAAGTGAAGCACAACAACACGTTATTTTTTCAGTCCATATGACAATGTTCTTGAACATCAGTGAGCGAGTAGTTTTGTTTTTGTTCCAGCACAGCTTGTCAAATGATTGGGTCGCCTGTTACCATCCGGAAACCACAAGGGGGAGGGACTTAAAACAGCTGATGGGATGGCAGCAAAGCTTAGTCAAATATGGGGCTTTAGAAGTGGAGTTCAACCAAACAGGTTCAACAGAAAATAAATAAATCTATTTTAAATAAAGTCTTGCTTACACAGACTTTTTATGAGCTGCTTACTTTTATAACACATTCTTACTCATCGCATCCCATTAGCAAGGAGTGTCCAAAGTGTGGATCGCGGGCCATTTGTGGTCCTCTGAGTAATTTTGTGCGGCCTTCAAATGCAATTTAGAATGGTCAACGTGTAAGACGTTAGTGCAGATAGACCTTTTTATGCCAATTTTATTGTTTATTAAATTAATTGTAATATATTTACCAAAATACTCAGAGGGGGAAAAAAGGCTTAAAATGTGCAATATTAAGTATGAAAGCATTCCGTCTGTGCAACGTGTATTATTTTTGTTCCAATTTTATGGTAAAGAGGACCACAAATGTTTACTGACTTTTGGTACTTACCACATACTTTTGGTTGACCTAATTCCCCTCTGGGATCAATAAAGTATTTTTGAATTAAATTGTACTACCCCTAAAACATAGCCAAATATCGCAAGAGTGTTTGAAAAAGAAAATTAAAAAAAAGGTTGATTTAATCAGGAAGTTGGATTTGGCCTAAACTTCAATGAATCAGTTTCAGCAACTCGTAGCTGTACACCTTTCCAGTGCTTGGACCATCCGTGTTCATGTGGAGCCAGAAAGCCTTTGAAAAAGCTACCTCAGGTGGGGGTTTGAACTGCAAGCCAGTGAAATTTTGACCCCAAAGGTCTACTGCCAGGCCACACTGCACCATTTTAGAAACTGTGTGAAGAAACGTGACTCATTTTATCTTTTTTTCAGGTTATGGACTAAAATGATCTTTCTAGTCACAATAAAACCAAATACAGCAGAGCTAAGAAATTAAAGGAATTAAATGTTTTTTTTAATTAAGTAAATGTTTGCAAGACTTTTTACAAAAATTTAGAACAAAATTTCCACCAAATTTAGTATACTTCTATCCTTTTACTAAAATATTGTGTTATTACATTGTTAAAAACTTAATATCACAAATAATATTTAGACTTTCTTATTATTTTACAAATTTTTTGTGGCTCACTTACACATTCAGCTTGACGATTTTGGTCAAAAGGTTTGAACCCAACTGGAGTAGATGACATGATTATACAATTCAAATGGCACTGAGTTCAAATGTTCACAACAAGTTCTGTACATTTCTGTCATCGCTTTTGGCCTGAGGCGTTTTGCTACATTGGTAGAAACTGTGCCTGTTTGAGCAAGTTTATGTTTTCTCTACTTCACATCTTTTATATGTAGGCCATGGCAGATATGACCGACTAATAAAATGAACAGAACAGGAGTTTATTATTATCATTATTATTATTATTATTATTATTATTATTATTGCATCATAAAGCCATGCAGTTGTAGTTGTCGTAAACTTGGTGTCTTTTTTTAGTTTATTGACTGATAGAGCAGATTTGATGTGTGCCACCTGCTCCGTTCTGTACAAGGAACATTGTGTTATGTCAGAGCATTTAAAACTAACAGCAAGTGTTGAAGAAAACAAACCTGTTTAAATGTAGGTCTGTCATGTTGGGTTTAAAGCAACAGAACTCGGGTCGTCTTTTTGTGTGGCTGAAGTGAGGCACCCTTTGGGTTCTTAGTGAATACTTACTGAAACCGTTCTGCGCGTCCTCTCCCGAGCGTAACCGAACCCTGAAACTCACACGGCGTTTCAGACCGAAGCAGCTTCAGAAAGGCTTCGCAAATTAATTTGCTGTGGTCACTGGAGAGCTGAGAATCTAGAGCGGCGGAGCATGCGGGAGGGATTGATGTACACAGATCTCAGAATGACCTCCATGTGTAGAATTGCTGGATTTAAGCCTTGTCCTGAACCACACTGTATACTGCAATTTGCTTTTAGCTAAGACTTTGTGTGAGCTTTCAGCCTCGGCTCTTTGTCCACTTTTGATTTGGCACTGTTTTTTGTTTGTTTTTGTTTTTTTGTAGGCTCCCATCCTGCCTTCATTCAAATGTGTAGCCTTAGATTGAATTTCTAAATTTTACATTATAATAATTCGACCTGCGTAACGTTTTGTCCATTTGGTTTTCTTTGGCTGTTCAAAGTTGAGCATGTATATAGCATTGCAATGCTTGTGCTATTGTTGCAAATGATTCCCAGGCTATACGTCAAACAAAGGCCAGTGTTGATGAGCTGTGGCGACCATTTTGATTTGGATTGATTGCAAAGCTCCAAAGGTTGATCAGTTGTAGATCTACAGTCAATGATCACATTTTGAGAGATTCAGTAGATCCTTTCCGTGTTTCTTGAGCTATTTAACTAACAGAGTTGAGTCCAAGAGTTGAAGCCAAACCTTTAATCAAAGATCTTGTGCAATGATTTGTAAATAACTCTCTGCTACAGCTGTGCTAAATTTACTCACAATATCTGTAAAATGGACTGAATTATAGCCATTTGTTGTGATTTGTAAGGTTGGCGAGCTGTGGCAGCCATCTTGAATTTGGTCTGCTCAAGTTATTCACCTCTAAATGTACATCCAGTGACTATTTACTGAAAGTTTCATTAGTTCAGGATATATTTTGTTAACAACCAGAGAGAATTGACTTTTGCATAGTTAATGGCAAAAAAAAGATCAATTATTAGTGCTCAGAATGTGTTTGGTATCAGTCTCAACTACCACCTTGTCAAGTTTTAGGGTAGAAATCTGTAAAATTAACTTCATTAAAGCATGTTAATGCTTTGTAAGGTCACTTAAATGTGGCAGGCATCTTGAATCAGTCCAAAACGTCAAATGAATACTTGCAAGTTTCAATAAATTCTATGTATGGGTCCGTGAGATATTTTGCTAACAGACAAATCAACACGTCCACACAGACAAAAAGCTTATCACCTTTGGCGATGGTGAACAAGCAGAGTTTTAGACGTTAAATGAGCCAAACTCAGAAAATATTGCTGGATTTGATTCATAGTTGTTTGTTTCATTCATTCATTCCCTTTTCTTTTTTTTTTTCTTTTTTTTTTTTTTGCTGGAAGGTTTGACAAAGATGGGATTGTTTAATGGATGAGTTCCATGAAGCATGTCCACTTGTCATTTATATTCAGGACTGTAGGGAGTTGTTAGGGAGGGGTGCTGCATGCTTAATCTGCCCAAGTATCCATCATATTAGCACTGTACAGAACTGGGCTTCTTCTGCAAATTGGATCAGTTGGATGATAAAAAGTAGTTTTTGTTTGTTTGTTTTGTTTTGTTTTTTCTTTGTTTTGTTTTTGCTGCAGTTTTTAATATTCCCTTTTTTTTCTTAAAAGCTATTTTTTATCAGGAGTAATGTATTCACTTATCCAGAAGCTTTGCATTTTATTTCTTCATTTTGCTGCCCCTCCTACTTTCCCTCAAGTTT